GCCTACATTCGCCATCCAGCAAACCTTTGCACGGGTCTGCACCATTACTTTGTCAAGGCTTTCGCTTTCGACATTATGGGTTACGACATTCTGTTGATCGTGGAGGAGGACAACATCATACACCCTCAGGCGCTGCAGGTACGCTGACGACCTGATACCCAACCAAGAGTGAAGCGCTGTTCGAACCACAGGCGCACTTCGCATGCACATGTTTGCTTTCCATCATATGCAGCCCGCATACGCTTATTGAGCGCTGTGATTGCCTAGGAACAAGGACTCGTCGCTTAGTATCCTTGCTAGACCAATCAGTGCCTTTATATATTTTAGCCAGGCAGGTCAACGTGTGCAAGCCTGCCTGCCTGCAAGCCGGCCGAGCAGTTAAAATTCCGCTCACCCCGTTAATGCTGTCCTACCTACTGTCCCTAAACCATATTTCCCACAGCTGCTGCGGCGGATGGCACAACTATCCGTCTTTGAGCCAGAAATCGGTATTGTAAGCCTTCTTGACATGGACCTGTCGCCGTTCCTAGATGCCGAGCGCTTTGCCGCGGGCCTTATCCCCGTGGTCGGCCATATGGGTCATTTGTGGGTGTTTGGCCTGCACCGCGTCAAGTATGAGCTCGCGCGTGGCTGCCTTCGGGACTATTACGACGTGATTAAGGGTCATGAGTACCGCGCGAAGCACTTGCCTCCCTTACGCGAGGCGATCCAGGCACTGATGCAGGCAAAGGGCTTCCCGCCGACAACAGCGCTGTCGCAGGTGCGTTAGGGCGTTATGTGTCGATATGTATGTCTGAATAACATCGCGCTCCCGTAGCGATCAGCCGATAGCTGGTAACCCAGATGAACACTTGATCAGGGTTGCCGAATATCCACATCGGATCCCTCTTGCTTGCGACAGACGTTTGACGATCGCGATCCATATCCAGCAAGATCCCATCATTTTAGCTAGGGTGCGGCCTTGAAATGCTTGACATGCAGCATTGGGACAGCCGTGCAAATGGGACAAACGACTCAGTGGTCTGATCGACAGGAACAGATAAAAGTTGTGTTTGCCGCCGCTGCTTGACCTTCGGTTGCCACCTCCGCACCGTACCCC